AGGGAAAGGAGAGGGAAGGGTTTTCCCTTTTTTTTTTTTTTTTTTTTTTTTGCGGGGGGGGGAGGCGGGGCTAGGGGTGTGCCTTTAAATGCTCTTAAACCTGAGACAGGCAGGGCACTCAACCAAGCAACTCATTTAAACACATGAATAGTTGCACTGGTGTCAACGTTTTAACTAAGCATTGTTTTTAAATATTTCACTGGATTGCTATCAAACTTATCCATACCTGGATGAATCATGCCTTGGGAAAAGACAGCAGCAGTATCTCTCCTAGTACAAGTCTAACTAGCACAATACATTGGGTACATGTCACACTCTGGCTAATAATAGTAATTTCTGTGTAACAGTGTTTTTGTAGTAGTAAAAACTATATTCCACTCTTGATCTAAGATCTTGCTTACCTGTTCATGTTTTAAAATAATTTAAAAAACATTTTAAAAGTTGAGAACCTTCAACAGAGAACTTTTTCATATGAACCAAATTTGACACTTGATTCATTTGTCCACTCTTTGCAAACTCTGTAAGATTTTGTCCCAAACAACCTGTACTCTTTCCTTCTTAAAAACAAGATGGACTTTGTTCTATCACAAGTTCTATCAGCAACTTCTGTTATTTTTTTTGCTTATACTGACCACATTCCAGTATGAAGCTACCCATACTGGATACTACAAGTGACAGTCCTGAGTACTGGAGTATGTCTGAGGTTTTATAAATATCAATTTATATTTATTGGCATTTAAATTTCTTAGGTGATTTACAATGTTAAGTCTGTTAGGTTAATACATTACACTAAAGGCTGATTTTTAGTGAGATATGTCATGAAAGTGATTTCATTTATTTATACTTCTACGCTACATGGCTAACTGTTCATACAACCCATGTTTACAGTTGTGTACCATCTAGCTTTTTGCCACTGGGTGACAGCCAAAGCATGAAAACAAAAGCCCTATTCAGGAGAAGAATTCCCTGCCCTGCTATATGAATATCAAGTGAATTATGCAAATCAGAACAGGAGGAGTTTAATAAAACTCTCTTTCTGACCTTCCTTGTGTATAAGGAGGGAAGTATGCTGAGAATCTTGAGGCAAATATCCCTGCAAGGGAACAGTAAGCACAGTAAATGCCGACCTCAACATTTAACTGAAACACTTAATCATAAAACTCCAGGATCTTTGAAAGTTGTACAAATTTACATCACAAAACCAAAGAGAGCAGCAACTCTCTCAGTAAAAAAGAGAGTCTTTTTCTTTGGTTTTGCAAAGGAATAACAGAGGAGAAAAGGGTCCAAAAAAAAGTCTGAGTTCATAAAAGGAATGATGGAGAGGGACGAAATAGATAAAAACCAAATAATACTCTACTTGAAAAATTTTCAAATTATTTTTCATGACAGTAAATGTGCACATTTCCTTTTAGAATTACTTCTTCTAATTTAGGCTATTATTTATGATTTGGGAACAGATGTAAAAGAAGGCAAAACAGGTACCTATCATACAGCACTTTAAAATGGTGCTCTGTCACTTTGAATTTTAACTTCAATAAAAATCAATTTACTAAAGGTTTATCTGATTTTCCCCAAAATGCAAAAGCCTTAAATTCCATAGATTTCCTTAATGAATTTTTTTATACATATAGCACATTTTACAGTAGGATGTAACTAACCCACACAGCCCTGTGGAAAACAAAAAGTGAAATATCCTTTTAAGTCACATTAGAATTGACTATATTTGTGCCAAAATTATGGAAAAAAAAAATTCAATATTTAAAATGCTATGAATATGAACAGCTTACATCATATTTTCAGGTTCTGTTGCACAAGCTCCCACTGCTTTGGTGACATTCACAAGCAGTGTCTGATCAGTTCCAGTAAGTAACTTCACCAGATGCGGTATTCCACCACATTTGCGGATAATAGTTCGATTTACTGGCTCTTGGCAACATTCTCCCAGTGCTCCAACAATATTTACAAGGACTTCTTCAGGCTGATCAGGAAGCAGTCCTACCAAAGCTTCTATGGCTTTATATTCCCGAAATCTAAAAGACAGCAATAAAACCAAAGTTGTTATTTTCAGTATGTTACTGTTATAAGTCTAATTTTATAATTAAGGAATCATTGTAATTGAAGTACAATACTTAATTTCTGTATGTAAATTATCTTGTTGAAGAAATCACGATACAGGTAAACCATTTCAATTAGTTCTTGAAAGTGTGACATACAGCATAATTTCTCACAGTACCTTTTCAAATACATTTCTCTAGTTTAACTAGGAATCTGCAGAGTAGTTTGAGGGGTTTTTAAAACTTGACAAGTGGATGCAACATCTATAAATAGCTGAAAAAATACTGGAAGACTAGCAAGTACTGTGGCATCCTAACTTCCAGTACTTTTTACCACCAAGCTAGAGTAGTAGTGTATCAGATCATCTTCCTCCTGTCTGGACCAGAGGATCACCCTTACTTTTCACTAAATGTTAGCCTTTAGAGAGTTTGCCCTGATCAGTTCTATACAGTCACTTCAGGCCTAATATGTGCATTTGCCTAAGGTCAGACTTACAGTTCTAGTATACTTCTATTGTACTATGTTAGAGTCCACTTTGAAATTAAGAAATAAGTTGACAGAAATTTGAGTTGACTGCTATATTAATACTTCCCTCATTCTTCATAGCACTTTTGATACTGAAAATCAAAAATAAATTTTTAAAAATCCTGGAGGTCCAATCCTACAAACAGATGCATGCTAAACCTCAGAAGTTCATCTTTCAGAACAGGACTTTATTCCTCAGTACTGGAGTCATCATCTGAGTTCTTTTTGTTCAGAACTTAGGAGATTCTTAATACTTAACAAATACTGTCTCTTCCTTTCACACATTTTCTATGACACAACTTGACAATTCCACTTGGTATATCAAGCTAGGTCTAACCTGTATATTATCTAATAATTATGCTTTGATTTATACCTTTGTGTAAATACACATAGTTCCTCCTCTAAAGAGACATTTTCTCTGAGGGTACAGAGTTCTCATTTGTGCTTCCCCCACGGCCTCTAGCTTCTGGAATTGCCTACTTGAGCTACTAACATTTTGTGTTTTCGAGGAATCAGTTGTACATGTGGCTTTTCTTTCATACAAAAAAATGAATATTTTTGAGATTTTGATGGCAGAACTAGAACTGTTTCAATAAAAGTTAATCTTTCCCAGCTGGTTTATCAGTATAACAACTAAAGTAACAGAAATGAGAACCTTTCATTTTTCATCATTCAAGCCTTCACTTAAAGAGGAATCTTCCTCTCTTTGTTCACTATAATTTGGAAGTATCCCTATAATTTTTTTTTCAAGAGAAAACATCAACAGCATAAAAAAAAGAGTAATAAAGCAAGTAAGCAATTTTTTAAAAAAACCTGATTTTCTCTGGCTACTTTATCTGTGTTGCATATCAACTGCTTCACAGATGGAACAAGATGAGCTGCCTTTGCAACGGGCAGGCTACACTCTGACAGAGCTGTTGGCTCGGGCCATCTTGCGTCCAGAAGCAGTACGGCTGCTTGCATGCAAACTGGAATCTGAGCTAGTCGGGCCCAGGCACCTGTATCAGCTCATTCCTGAGTCAGCACAACATCTCAGCAATGTACTTCAGGTATAGGAAATATTGTGGAGTAGTTCAAAGATAATGAAGTAGTCCTGCAGGAACCAGCAGGGTTTGTTAGTTCTAGCTTCATGCCAGACTCAAGCTCATCCCTCCAGATCTACTTACATGTTTTCATATTATCCTCCCTCCCTGTTCTGTAGTGCCTTCCCATCTTAAGTTTGGATAGGGTTTACCGCTCCAGACTCAGTACTACATAATACATGAATTCAGCTCAAGTCTGGACCTCTGCCTGGCTAGTAACCTTCATGGAGTGTCAAGCACTTGCCAAAGATATGTGAGTAGTCCAGCAAAAATCTGTTTGCATTTGGACAGAATTATTGGCTACAGCTATACTAATAAATAAAACAGGCAAGGCCTCATTCTCTAGCCCTGAGGACAAGAAGCACAACATAGCATCCATATGGCTAAAATCTCTTATCCTTACAATTCAGGGTGGCCTCACCCATTCTGCCTAATGGAAACAATCTGTTGCGGGCACTGTTTCGAAGGACTGTCTGGGCATTGTCTGGGAGAGCGCTTGCTGGCACAGGCCAAACTGTGTAAGGGACTCTGCTAGCAGTTAAACAATATGGATAACCGTAACATAATGCCTGAACCCTGAAAGGTTTGGCCTTGTTTAATTTACTAGTATAGACAGAGCCATTCAGTTTGCCTCATCATTGATTGATTCAGAATCAGGACCCCCAAAGTCCACAGAAAAGAAGGATATATCCTTCTGAAAAGCCAGGTTACTGTGCAATCAAGAAAGCAAAAGCAATAGGACAGCAGTAGAGTATGTAAAGACTATGGCTCTGTATACCAACAGTTTGGGAACTCATTTAGGATAGTAAAAAGTCAGTCTGTAAACCCTTATTACTGGAATTCTTTCTGATTTTTATCCAGCAGTTATCTACCATATCTGCTTGTCCAGCAAAATACACTAAAATTAGGGCTGCAGGAAGAGGTTACCTCTTACTGATACTCCTTCCAGCCTATGAATCTTACATTCCCCTGTACAGAGCAGCATAACTTCAACCGAACATAGTGGAGCTGGCTTTTTTCTGAGGTAAGGTGCATGAATCTGATAAATTACTTTTAGATGAGGGGGTGAAATACTCTCAATCGTTAAGCTGTTCCATGAAAAGTGGAGGGTGGTAACTCCTGCTGTCCCATTCTCAGATAATCACTCAGGACCCTGATATGGAGAGGTTGTAGGTACCTATGGTAGGACTCATCAGTTAATTCCACCCATTCAGAAGATGAGTGTTCAGACTAAGCTACTTTTCTGAGCCCCTTCTGCAGTCAAGGAGAGAGGCATCCAGGCTCATTATTCTAGATTCCAGTGTATTTCCAAAGTAGGTGGACCTAAAGTGTATTAGATATCTATCCTAGAAGGAGATAATTTGCTCTCTGTCTCTCTTGATGTAAAACGTTAAAGCTAAATGTGCTAACTACCCTCTACAATGCAGCAGTGATTCCCGTTTGTAAGCTACAGAGAGGAGTGGGGATACCAGATACGCCCATGTGTCAAATGTTTAGTATGTGCTAGTACACCTTCTGACTCAGTGTCCTATATCTTAACTATTCTTTAGAGGCAGGTGTTGTCCCCATTGATTCTTAAGATTCTAGGAACTTAACACTGTCTCTACTGTACCCTGATGAGGTCAGGTGGCAATTTTTTAAATACTATAAAACCTAAGTTGAACGCCCAACTGGTTATAAAGTACATTTTTGAAGAATGATGACATAACAATTCTGAAAACAATAGAGGCTCATAAAATCAAAACATGATAATGTAATAAATGTTTGTAAAATGAAATTGTTACTTTGACACATTTTCTCCACTGATTGCACATTTCCAGATTGCTCCTGTCACAGCTGCTAAAAGTTGTTTGTTTTCAGAGTTACCAAGCAGAACAGATAGTGGTTGTAGACCTCCATGCTGTCTAACCAGGTCCCGTGTTTCTTTATCTTCTGCACACTATACAAAAA